AGTAATTAATAAAATAATTAATATTTATTAATTAATAAATTAAAATTAATAAATAACTGATATTTTCAAAATACTATTTAAAAAAAAAACTAAATAATGGTGACCCTAATACTTCTTATGGTGGTAATAACCACACCATGCCTCCCCATTCCGTATTTCCCCTACGTCTCAACTGATTCCCATCCCCTTTACCTCCCTTCCCCTCCTTTTGACATCCTTTTTTTGCCTACCCCTCACCTCCTTCGTTGTTTCTCTCTCCTAGTTTTGGCTTTCTCGTACTTTCTTGCACTTTACCCCTTTTGCTCCCCTTTTACTCTTTTGCTTAATTAAGGTGGATCTTCTATCACTCAAGAGAATTTTCTTATGAGCATCGTTTTAAATCCTAACAATAAGATTGTAAGGATAGGTTCGAGGTCCTTAATCTCGAACGTACTGTAACAATTCTTTAATAGCCGAAGTGAAGTTAAATCTTGCACTTCCTGGTCAAATGGCTACATGATAAATACAATTGACATACCCACACCTGATCTATCACATACAGTTTCCCAATCTTGAATTTATCGCCTTAAGGGACACGTCACACTCCGATTATCCTGTTAAGCAAGCCACGTGGATACCTTACTAAGGCCTATAAATATCCCCCAAGGGCCACCTCAGAAAGATAATTGAAACCGACCTAAAGCTCCTCTTTAATTATTCTAAAAAGGTAGATCCGATTATTACTGACTTAAGCATCAAAGTGTTTACCCCGATGACCCACCTCAGGGCTTTGCAGGTTCATCCGAAGTGAAGACGCGAACTAAAGAAGAACTTCTGGTTTGGTGCAATTACATTGGCACCGTCTGTGGGAAATCGAATTGAAAGCTCTCTTGTTGTTCTCTCATCATGGTCAACACTCGATCTGTTCGAGCTAGAAATTAGGCTCAACCTCTTGGACAAGGTCAAAGTCAACCCCCCAACAACCTTCCACTTCACCTCCCACCTTCGATCCCGAATCTATTCCCTCATGTTGACCGAGCAGAGGGTGGAGATGAAAACCAACCTCATAACTTAGCTCACAACTCAACTTCCACTACTAATCAAGATGTAGTTACAACTCAACTTGCTGCCATGCAACAACAATTTGGTGTCTTCCAGTTAGTTTTGGCTCAGCTTCTAGCTCGGAATAATCTTGGCAATCCCCTCATCAATCTACTCAACCCTACTCAACAACCCCCTGTTCAACAGCAAGATCCTCAACCAGTTCAGCATGCTCCTGCTCTCAGTGAGTCTCAGGTTCAGTCTCACGTAGCCCCAGCTCAAAAACCTCTACCTGATGATGTCACTCGATGTCTGGACAGTTTAGAAAAACTGGTAGCTGAGTAGCGAGGTGCCCCACCTCCACATCATAACACAGATTCCATACCTCATCCTCTGAACACTAACATCACATTGGAACCTTATCTTGTCAGCTTCAAGATACCTTGGCTTGAGACATATGATGGGATGAAGGATCCACATGATCACCTCCATGCTTTCTACTCTTGTATGTAAGCTCAGAATGCTTCTAATGCATTGATGTGCAAAATTTTTCCCTCCACTCTCCGTGGCAAGGCTCGAACATGGTATTATAGTTTGCCCTTGAGATCTATCAGCTCCCGTTCAGAAATGGCATCTGCTTTTGCCACAAAGTTTTCCAGTAGAAGGTTGATTAGGAAAACCACTTCAGAACTGATGCGAGTCAAACAGAGGGAAGGAGAATCTCTGAAGAATTACATGAGCCGGTTCAACGATGCAGTCCTCGAAGTCAGCTCATTCAACCAAACTGTGGGAATTGCGGCTGTAATTCAAGGTCTCCAGCACTAAAGATTTAGAGATAGCTTAATCAAGCATCCTGTTGCCAATGTTTTTAAACCCGAACCGGAGGTCAAACCGTTTTGACCTCCGGTTCACTGTTTGACCGGTTTAATCGGTAAAACCATCGGTTCATTAATATAGTATAAATATATTATTTTGTAAAGTATTACACAAGATATCCATTGAGTGCAATGGTAGGTGGTTGCTCTCTCTTACCAAAGATCACAGGTTCGAGTGCCCTTGTGAACAAACTTTAAATAATTATGGTTTTAAAAATAGACTAAATAAAATTTCAAGCATCCATTGACAAACGGACTGCATTGTCTTGGTGGCAAAGGGTTGGAATAAACTAAAAAGACTTCAAGGTTGCAAGTTCAAGCTTCATGGGGGACAAATTTCTCAAGCTTTTGTTCCCAAGCATTGAACCATCCAGTCGAACGGTTTTTCGGTTTGAGCGGTTCCAACGGTTCTTACTGGTTTTCAAACGGTTTGATCTTCAAACGGTTTAAAGGATAGAACCAAACCGTTTATACTATCGGGTATCGATTCAACCGATTCGACCGGCCGGTCCGGTCCGATTTTCAAAACCTTGCCTGTTGCTACTTTTAATGAAGTCAACGACAGATCATTGAAATTCATAACTGCTGAGGAATATACCCTATCACAGAAACCAGTTCTTCCCAAGAATCAAAATCCAAATTGGAGAGATGAGGGTCAAAGCAGAAAGCGGATGAAGACAACGCAAGACCGAGGTCCGATGTCGACCTCTACAACGAGATTCGTAAAGCCGAACTCACTACCCCCTCAGCAAAATATCAATAAAGCACCAATTACCTGGAACCTTTTCAATTTGCTGAGGTCGTAGGTATTCATGCAGATCAAGAATAAGATGGACTTGAGGCGACTAGGACCAATGAGAAGTTCTGCTGCTACATGTGATCATACTAGATATTGTGATTTTCATACTAGATATTGTGATTTTCATCAAGATCATGGTCATACAACAGAGCAATGTAATAGCCTGAGGTCTGAGTTGGAAAGTCTAGCTCAAAAGGGAATACTAAATGAATACATCTAGAGATCCGAGCAACCGAAGTTTGTTAAAGAACAAGGGCCACAATCGCAGGGATCTCGTAACGCAGGAAATAGACAAGGAGTGGGATATCAACAAGCTCCACCACCGCTTCCGCCATTGGCTAGAATTATACACATGATTACCGGAGGATTGGAAGCAGGGGGTTTGAGCTCCAAACAGAGAAAAATGTATGTCAAAGAGGTGAAGCATCAAAATTGAGCCTAGAAACGAAAGTTTGACGACGTTGACTGGAAAAATCAACCAATCACTTTTGCATCTGTTGATTTCGATACAGTTGTCACACCTCACAATGGTCCCTTGGTCACTTTCGTCATGATTGACAACTGTAAGGTACAACGTGTCCTTGTTGACATAGGAAATGCACTAGATATTATGTACTTTTACTGTTTTGAGAGTCTTGGGCTAAATCCAGCTTTGTTGTAGAAGGAGTCCTTACCCTCAATGTTGCTTTTGGGAGTGGCTGAACTTATGTTACCCCTTCAGTTCAGTTTCTAGTTGTCAAAATGGTATCCTCTTTTAATGCTATTATTAGCCGACCCGCATTAACCAAGATCCGAGCTGTGGTCTCTCAATTTCACCCCTGCATGAAGTTCCCAACTCCCATGGGGATATCAATACTACGAGGTAACCAGGAGGTGGCTAGACATTGCTACATTACCTCGGTTACAAGGCCTCAGAAAGGCAAAGATCAGACACTAGAAACCATTCCCCAACATGTTCATGATAGTCAACAGGTAATGGGAGTTGAGATAGTAGACAACCGACTTGAAGTTGAAACTAGAGCTACCCCAGTTGAGGATGTAGAAGAAATGCAAATTGATGACGGAGATCCAAACAGGAAAACACAAATTGGAACTCAGTTGAACCCAAAGGAAATAGCAGACTTAATAGCTTTCCTCCGAGCTAACAAAGATGTCTTCACTTGGATCTCGGCAGACATGTCAGGGATCCCAACCTCAGTATCTCAACACAAACTCAGCACTAATCCATTAAAGAAACCAATAGCCTAGAAGCGACGTCTCTTTGTGGGGGAAAAGCTTCAGGTTATAAAAGAAGAGGTAGAGAAGCTCCTACAAGCTAGTTTCGTCAGAAGAGTTGATTACTACGAATGGGTGGCTAACCCGGTGTTGGTCAAAAAGGCAAATGGTAAATGACGAATGTACATCGACTACACAAATCTTAACCAAGCTTGTCCCAAGGACTACTATCCGATGCCAAGCATTGACAAATTGGTTGAAGTGGCTTCTAAAAATGAGAGATTAAGTTTCTTGGATGCATATTCTGGTTACCACCAGGTGCCGATGGCTCTAGAAGATGAAGAGAAACCCTCGTTCTATGCAGGTGATGAAATTTATTGTTATGTCATGATGCCATTTGGCTTAAAGAACGTAGGTGCCACTTACCAGAAAATGGTAACCATTGTCTTCCGAGCTTAGATCGGCAGGAATCTGGAGGTTTACGTCAATGATATTGTAGTGAAGAACCTGAAAGCAGAAGACCATCTAGCTGATCTTGATGAAACATTCAACAACCTCAGAAAGAACAGGATGCGGTTAAACCCAGCCAAATGCATCTTCAGTGTGGAGTTTGGGAAATTTCTAGGCATCATGGTTTCTCGGAGAGGGATTGAGGTCAACCCGAAAAAGATCAGAATCGCCGAAGTTGGTGAAAGATATACAGAGATTAACTGGAAAAGTGGTAGCTCTTCGTAGATTCATATTGAAATCAGCAGATAAGTGCCTGCCATTTTTCAAGATCATGAGGTCAGCAACCCAGAAGGATGAATCTGGCAAACAGAAGAAGTTTGAATGGAACCAAGAATGCCAAGCTGCATTCGATGAGCTGAAGTCTTATCTTAGCTCCCCACCTCTACTGACTAAGGCTATAGATGAAGAAATTCTTTATTTGTACCTTGGTATTTCATACGAAGCAATTAGTTCAGTTTTGGTGAGAGAAGAAGGCAAACAATAGAAACTAATTTATTATATTAGTAGCGTGCTGCACGGAGCAGAACTAAGGTACCCTGTTGCTGAGAAAGCAGCACTAGCAGTTGTTACTTCTACCAGAAAGTTGAGGCCACACTTCCAATCGCATCCAATCATCGTCCTCAACCAACCTCTTTGACAAATCCTTTAGAAGCCAGAGTGTTCTGGAAGGTTAATTAAGTGGGTAGTAGAACTGGGGGAATTCGAGATAACATTTCAGTAGAGGTCTACGATCCAAGCTCAAGCACTGGCAGATTTCATCGTGGAATGCACCCCATGTCACTCAATCCCTAACCCCGAGCTAAGCGATTGGACCTTATATGTTGATGGAGCATCTAGTAGCAAGGGTTCAGAAGCTGGTGCTTTCTTAATTGGCCCAGATGGATACTAAAGTGAGCATGCTCTGAAATTTAACTTCGTTGCAACAAACAACATGGCTGAGTATGAAGCTCTGCTACTTAGTTTGCAACTAACATTGGAGTTGAAGATCATGGCGATACAAGTATACAGTGACTCGCAGCTTGTGGTTAATCAAGTCAACTAAATCTGTGAAGTTGTTGATCCTGTGATGATGAAATATGTAGCCCTAGTGGCCGAGCCAAAGTGCAAATTCCAGAAATTTTGTTTAAATAAAATTCCCCGAACTGAAAATGAATAGGCAGATTCACTTTCTAAGTTTGCTTCTGATAGCTCTTTAAGCTCCAAATTAGTTTTCATGGAAGTTCTAGATGAACCAAGCTTCACGAAGCCACGAATGATGGAGATCAGCACAGACCCGGATACACCGAGTTGGACTAATCCAATTATCTCCTTTTTACGAGACGGGACAATGCCTGAAGACAAGCAAGAGGTAATGAGGTTAAGGAAGAAAGCGTCTCGATATACATTCGTCGATGGGGTCCTCTATAAGAGATCTTTCTCACTCCCTCTTCTACAATGTTTAAATCCCTACGAAGTTGAGTACGCACTTCGGGATGTGCATGAAGGTGTATGTGGAAGCCACATTGGTGCTAGAACCCTGGTTCACAAAGTCCTCAAGCAAGGATATCACTGACCAAATATGTACAAAGATGCTACTTACTTTGTTCAGAGATGCCCAAAGTGCCAATTCTTTGTACATTTGACTCACCAACCAGCAAAAGAGCTCATGAACTTGGTAGCACCGTGGCATTTTGCTCAGTGGGGACTTGATCTTTTAGGCCCATTCAGGAAAGGGGTTGGAGGTGTAACCCATCTGATTATTGGAGTTAATTATTTTATGAAATGGGTTGAAGCTCGACCATTATCCAATCTTACCTCCAGAAAGGTCAAAGACTTTGTTTTTGGCTCGATTATCTATAAATATAAGATCCCGAACCAGATTGTGGCTGACAATGGTACTCAGTTTAACAACTCCTCCTTTTGAGATTTCTGCTCTAGTTACGAGATCAAACTGTAGTTCACCTCGATTTATCATCCAGAGTCCAATGGTATAGTAGAATCTATTAATAAAGCTATCTTAGAAGGAATAAAGCCAAGGTTGGAGCAGCATAAGGCCAGGTGGGCAGACGAGCTCAACAACGTCCTTTGGGCACATAGAACTACGAGCCAAATTACCACATGTACTATTTCCAACCCAAGATACTTTCATTCTATTTTTATTTTCTCACCTGCGGCTTTACCCTAGATCAAATATGCATAATATGTAAAGCATATTCTAAAGACTATAATTTCATGAAATAGGTGAAACACCCTATCACCTAGCCTTTGGTACCAAAGCAGTCATTCCTATTAAAATAGGTGTCCCAAGTTTCAAGGTAACCAATTTCAATGAAGGACGAAATGGACAACTGCTTTGAGAAAACCTTGATCTGCTTGCCGAAGTTAGAGAAGAGGCATGACTTCGAACCCTAGTATATAAGCAGAAATTAGCCAACTTCTACAACAAATGAGTTCGCCCTCAAACATTCAAAGTAGGAGACCTTGTTCTCAGAAAGGTTAGCCTAACAGGGTTTGAAACTCGTTTTGGCAAACTGGCCCCGAACTGGAAAGGCCCTTACACAGTGGCCAAAGTGCCACATCCTGGTGCCTATATCCTCCAAGACGTTGAAGGGAAGCAAATTCCTAGAGTTTGGAATGTCAATAACGTGAAGAAATTTTACCCTTAATAAATTTCTTTCAAGTGTCCTTCGTCTTATTCTTCTTTATAATTATTACTTCTTCATTTTTGAGATTCATTTCATCTGTTATTCTGTATATTTGAGGTCAATCTGTCTAGACTCTATTCCTTGGACTGCACTTTTATTAATGAATCTCACTTCACATTCAAAATGATTTCCTCTTCTCAGCTCGTGTCTGAAGTTATTTACTTCTTCTCAGTTTATATCCAAAGTGATTTACCTTATATAAAGCTTTACGTCAATACAAAATAATTCAAAAAAAAAATTTCTTTAAATAAATCAAAAAATGTGTACATTAATCATTGTTCAAATCCTAAATACATAAATCAAAAAAGTAAAAAATCCCTAAACTATTTTGCTAGAAGAGGTGGCTGGGGTGGCTTCTGCTCTGTTGAGAGAGGTGGCTGCTCTTCTTCAGAGGGAACTGGATGCACCTCCACAGGAGGAGATGGTTGACTTTCATCAACTTCAGCCCCTTCTACTTCTACTTCTATTTCTCCTTCCTCTTCCTCCACTGCTACGAACTCGAAGTCAAAGTTAGGAGGAAAAACGACGCGTCCTTCTTCATCATGATCCCACCTCAGCTTAACCTAAGGTCAGAAATCTGCTGACATGCTTTCGCCGTTCTCCTCCAGCCCTTCCTCTTGTTTGCCGAAGGTGATCTTGGTAACATCCACTTCGAGATACTCAGTTTTCACCTTCTTTCTGCAATCAATGAAGGTGAGGATTGTAGTCGACAACTAGTACAGATTGACGGTGTTGTCAAACGAGCTGGAGTTGAAAAAGTTACTGATATGTTCCTCCATCCCGTTGTGGACTAACAATTGGACATTCTTTTTGAATTCCACCTCGGATTCTCTCATCCTTCTTATTTCCTCCTCTTGTGCTTCATTCTCTTCTTCACACATTCTCCTTTTCTTCTCTTCGAATGAGAGAATGGTCTTCAGTGTATCTCTCTCCTCTTGTAAGCTTGTCACTACTGGTACCACTATATCCAGTTCCCTTTTCATTTCCCCGTTCTTCTTCAACAGCTCATCCCTTTCCCTCTGCATGCTATTACACTCCTTCACAATCTCCATGAATTCTTGGGCTAGCGCATTAACCCAAGTTGTAGTCTGCCACACCAACACAAAACAATCAAAAAAAAAAAAAAA